AATGTGTGTGTGTGTGTGAATGTGTGTGTGAAAAGTGAGTGGTTAGCGCAGAGAATGTGCACAGGGGGTACTCCGGAGGGAGTGCATTAACGCGGTTTGTGTCTGTGTGTCTGAGTGTGTGTGTGTCTGAGAGAGTGAGTGTGTGTGTGTGTGTCTCTGTATCTGTGTGTGTGTGTTGTCTCCCCTGCCCTGATGCAGATGGAGGAGCCCTCATAATAAGCCCAGAGTTCACCCAGAGTCACTCTCCCACAGATCTCACACGGCACAGTCTATAACTACAGGGGCCCTCAGCTCGGGGTCTCTAGATCTCAGGGTCCGATTAGGGCCCCCCCTCACCCCCCCCCCCCTCTCACTCTGTAACGGGGCTGATGGAGCGGGGGTGGGGGGGCGGGGGGTGGAGGCGGCGGGGGAGGGAATCGGGGACAAAGAGCGACCAGATCTAATTTCCCAAGTGCCACGAGTATCGCCGTTATGTGGCGTCATACAACACCCACTCCTCGTCTCGCAGCAGCCAATTAAATTAATGAATGGATGGGTTTGATGGAGCTTGTGTGTGTGTGTGTGTGTGTGTGTGGTGGGGGGGGGGGGGGGGTCCTTTGACTGTCAACAATAAAAAAATATAATGTATAATTATTATTTGGTTTTCCTCCCGTCTTGAGTCCCGGAGGTGCCGATGTCATGTGTCGGAGTTGAACAACAGACAGTGGGACGCTCATTTATTGAAGATTTTTCTAACTCGTTATTTCTTTTTTTTTTTTTTTTTGGGGGGGGGGGTTATTTTGTGTCTATTCAACCACTAACGATGGCAGGTTTCTTTTGTCTCTTGGGTTCAGAGTCTTCCTCTTTATTCCTTAAAGGTCCAGTGTGTTGAATTTTCATGGCATCTAGCGTAACGGACTTGGCAGAAATTGAATTTAATATCCATGAGTATGTTTTTAATGAGTGTATATTCCCATGAAAATAAGAATTGTGTTTTCGTTACCTGACAATGAGACGTTATTATATCTACATGGGGAGCGGGTCCCCTTCCACGGAGGCCGCCGTGGCACAGTAGCCCAGAACGGACAACCGGCTCTAGAGAAATAAAGCCTTTGCTGTTGCATATTGTCATTGAGACTAAAACAGGTTCGTTCGGCAATGTTTCCTCACGTTAATGTTCCCCCACGTAATTTTTACAATAATGTCCGATAATGTCCAGGGACGTCCCGGCATCAAAACTGCATGTGACATTTATAGCAGCGTAGCGCTACTGTGGCGGTGTGTTAAAATAATCACACATCGCTATAGCAGTTTAAGTGTTAGTTAAGCATGTTAAATATTCAACAGATATTCACGCTGTCTAGTGATGTATACCTGCCCAGGTGTCTACCTGCCCCAGGTGTATACCTGCACCAGGTGTATACCTGCCCAGGTGTCTACCTGCCCCAGGTGTATACCTGCACCAGGTGTATACCTGTCCAGGTGTCTACTTGTCCAGGTGTCTACCTGCCCAGGTGTCTACTTGTCCAGGTGTCTACCTGCCCAGGTGTCTACTTGTCCAGGTGTCTACCTGCCCAGGTGTCTACCTGCCCAGGTGTCTACCGGCCCAGGTGTCTACCTGCCCAGGTGTCTACCTGCCCAGGTGTCTACTTGTCCAGGTGTCTACCTGCCCAGGTGTCTACCTGCCCAGGTGTCTACCTGTCCAGGTGTCTACCGGCCCAGCTGTCTACCTGCCCAGGTGTCTACCGGCCCAGCTGTCTACCTGCCCAGGTCTCTACCTGCCCAGGTGTCTTCCTGTTCAGGTGTATACCTGTCCAGGTGTCTTCCTGCCCAGGAGACGGGGCTTCCAAGCGAAGCCGTCAGGCAGCAGCACTCCTCTATATAGAGCCATCGTTTGGTCAATATTTCTACACAATAAAACGTTTGTAAACAATAAAACATGTTTCCCGATGGATATAACATTAAACTGTTTAGAAGTGTATCCCACTAGCTCTACAACAGTAAAAAGCAGGTAAAAAAACCTGCGTGGCCAGTGGAGCTCCAGTGTAAAAATAACTCATATAGACTGTATAAAATATAGGTGACTTTCAATAGGTGTACATTGGTGGAAACTATTGCAGACTTAAACAAAGAAACACGTACTCGTTGAGATTTAGACCATGTATATGATTGGAGTTATTTGGTATGTCTTGCACCCCTAGTACCTACTGGCACCTTACAGGCCACCGTAGCTTCAGTACCTACTGGCACCTTACAGGCCACCGTAGCTTCAGTACCTACTGGCACCTTACAGGCCACCGTAGCTTCAGTACCTACTGGCACCTTACAGGCCACCGTAGCTTCAGTACCTACTGGCACCTTACAGGCCACCGTAGCTTCAGTACCTACTGGCACCTTACAGGCCACCGTAGCTTCAGTACCTACTGGCACCTTACAGGCCACCGTAGCTTCAGTACCTACTGGCACCTTACAGGCCACCGTAGCTTCAGTACCTACTGGCACCTTACAGGCCACCGTAGCTTCGGTACCTACTGGCACCTTACAGGCCGCCGTAGCTTCGGTACCTACTGGCACCTTACAGGCCACCGTAGCTTCGGTACCTACTGGCACCTTACAGGCCGCCGTAGCTTCGGTACCTACTGGCACCTTACAGGCCAGTGCTTCTCCTACGTCGTCGGAAAGGTACACACTGCACACTTTTAAGGTGGGCCAACCATTTGTATCTTATTATGAGGGGAATGTGAGATGGGAACATGAGAGAGAGCGAGAGACGTCTGCAAGAATGTAAATATGAATAAACATATTGCCAATAAATTCACAGATTACTAATACAATCGCAAAGAAAATAGAACCAGAGTAAATAAATAGTGAAGAGAGACACAGATGTTTTCTTGTACTCTCAGCGAAAACGGTACACTTTCGCATATTATTTTTGCAGATTACAAATACAATCAGAGAGAGAGCGAGAGAGAGAGAGTCAGAGAGAGAGCGAGGGGTGGTGGTGGTGGTGGTCTTACTCTAAGAAGGAGGATATGAAGGAGGACGCGACACGGTGCATCAGACGGAGAAAAAAAATACAAATAAATCAACTTTGCTCCAGATCTCCCATTATTTCCCCCCGCAGTCATTTCCACCGAGAAACACGTCAGCCCCCAAAATAAATAAGAGCGTCGGGGAAAATAAAAGGAAGAAAAAAAAACGAACAAACTGAAAGAACGAATGACAAACAAAAATATGATTAACTCATCAAGCAAAAAACAACCTCATTTGACGTAACGACAGACGATTAGCAAAAACGCTTTAATCTCGTGTCGATATTCAAGAAGTCATTTTGAAGATGATTCGGCAATTAAGATGAATAAATAACAAATTAGGCACACAGAGGGGGACGAGGTGTGTGTGTGTGTGTGTGTGTGGGGGGGGGGGGGTGGGGGTGCAGGGAGGATATAGGAAAAGCATTTTTAGATTGTTTTTTTTGGCAATGCAATTATTCTCAAATTGGAGCTATAGCACAGTGTGATGGCTATAATCATCATTCGCCGGTATTTTTGGAGAGAGCATTTTAAATTGTTATTTATTTGTTTATTTCCATTTGGCATCTCAAAGGACTGCTTCATTTCAAGGGCGGTAAATATTTTACATCCGTGCCGGCTAATTGGGTGTATATATATTATTTATATAAAAACTAAAGACACTCTTGTGTGTGTCTGTGTTTGTGTCGAGACAATGTGTGTGTACGTGTGTGTGTGCGTAAAACACTGTGTGTGTGTGTGTGTGTGGGATTGCTGCTGCACCATGGTCTTACAGAAAGGAAAAGGCGTGCGTAGTTTTATGTGTTTATTTTATTTTATTTGTTATTTATTATTATATCTTTTATTACCAACTTCCCCTGTGTGTTGCTTATTTGTCTATTTTTTATCCTCCTGTTGGTGCCTGTGTTGTGTGTATGTATGTGTGTGTGTGTGTGTGTGTCTCTCTCTCTCGCGCTCTCTCTCAAGAGAGAGGTGCTGGTTTACACTCCAACTACGACGCTGCAGACTTTTTATTGCTGCTTTATTGTTCCTCTGGTACGATGCATTCTGATGACCAAAGCAAGACCCGGACGACCGGCGACACGCAGAGCGGGGGGGCTATCGCCGGCTCCGCTCCCAGACTGGGTTTAATGCACCGCCACCCCCCCCCCCCCCCCCCCCCCCCCCCACCCCACCGATGACCTAGTAATCTTTCTCTAACCCCTGCCTCACCCGCTCCATAATGACACGCATTGCTATTCACCGAGAGACACTTGGGGGTGAGTCGGTGTGCATAAAATGACATGGAGGCGGCCGTTGCGATGGGACGCTGCGATGTGCAAGCCTGATCGACAAAATACAGCAGCAGCCAGGATTTCCGGGTGGGGAGTATTCTGTGACTGGGTTCGATCCCTTCAATGTCCGCAGACGGGCCTTATGCCTAACCCCTGTATGATACAATTAGGGCCTAAGTTTTCTGACATACGTGCATTGGAGTGAAATACGACTACAAATACGACTACAAATACTACTAGTGCGTCCGCCACCAAGGGTAGAGTGTCTGCCAGTCACCACACAGATGTATCTGTGAAAAAAATCAATGAAAGGGTATCGCAGCAAAGAACGCCACATACAGTTACCGTTAAAAAAAAAAAAAAAAACGCAGAAAAGTTCGAGAAGTACATTCACGTCCCCCCTCAATGCAGCCGAGAAAAGACGTGCACACATTGACCCAAAAAAACCCCATCTGGACAAAAAACATCAAAAGTATGAAGAACTCGCCCGGACAAGCTCAGGCTAAACTAACCTTGGGATTCCACCTTAATTACCCTGTACCTCCCAGCCTTAAATACCCCAGGCCCTTTGGGGTGTGTGTGTGTGTGTGTGTGTGTGTGTGTGTGTGCGCGCAGTGTGCTGTAATCAATATACCTGATTGTAACACAGGTCATAAAAAAAAGCCACCTGCAAGCCCCTCGTAACCTGGTTGTTATGCAGAGTTACACAACACAAGAGGATATAGTCTAGCGGTGCTTAGGGGTGTTTGACCCCCAGTCGAAAGGTTCTGGGTTCGAACCCCAACATCCACACTGTCGACCTGAAGGCAAACTTGAGCAAGCTGCCCCCTTACCCCTTACCATGCACATGAAATACATTCACTGTAAGTAGCTTTGGATAAACTTATCTGCTGAATGACTAATAATAATGCTGAGAAGGTTTCACAGGCTTAGGGTTAGTTTGATCAATTTTATCATTCAATGTAGTCATTACTGTGGTCATATTGATTGGAGACAATGTGTGAATATAGGCTACGAGTTATCTGAAGTTTCATAATTGTCTTTTATTGATTGATAAGTAAGGGATAATGTACAGCGAGCCGGTCATTATTGCGAAATAACTCTTGCAACAGCGTTGCATCACCCTGAAGGGGCTTATTTTGCAATAACGACCGGCTCGCTGTACATTTTCTCATTAATTACTTGGCTAATTACTAAAGAAATGAATAATTTGACACAAATATATAAGGACAAAAAATGCTTTTATTGCTTCGGCTAAGAAGAATAGTCTGTCTGATTCTATGGTTGTGAATAGCGTCCATAGCAGCGGTCTGCTATTCAGAAATAACAGGCCAAAGCATGCAGTTATTGACCAATCACAATCGAGTATTCAACAAAGCCATGTAATAAGATTGCTGTAAGGTTCAGCATGCATACAGTGGAATCAGCCGTCTATGATTGAAAACGAGAGGAAAAAAAACAGGGTTGAGATAGAACTTGCATTTATTGATAAGATAATGGTACAACATTCAGCATGCATACAACAGCATTTTTCCATCTATGGTGGAAAACATGACAAAAAATAAAGGAATGTGTGTGTGTGAGAGGAGAGAGAGAGAGAGAGATCTGCTCTGCTCTAGGGAGAGGATCGTCCAATCTCCTCCACTAATCTCTAGCCACTGATTGGCTCCGCTACTGAGGCGTGACCAATGAAAGTGCATCATGCATTCACATTACTTTATCACGATCTATTTAGATGTATAGATAAAAAAAAAAAAATTAAATTAGGTACGCTATAATTGTGTTCTGCCTCACCTGTGTAAATCACTTTGGATAAAAGTGTCTGCTAAATGGCTAAAAGTTTGATTCCCATTGGGGGCCAGCCATGAAGAGGATGTACATTTTTTTTGAAGAACCAAGTCCAACAAATGGCATTTATTACTATTTAAGTTTAAATGTCATGTAACAGAGTGTCCGCGGGTCCTTAAAAAGTCTTAATTTGTCTTAAACTCAATTATAAAAATACAAGGCCGTAATCACTATAAAAATGTCCTGAATCCAATTTCGCAAAGTCCTAAGTATAAAAAAATTAGGATGCGACTTGTAAGAACGGGGGCGGGATCTCATCACGAACTGGTCTTTTTTTCAAAGGGCTTTGGGTATATCCTCGCTTCAAATTTGGCCTTAGATTTCATTTGAGGTGGTACGATAAAAGGTCTTCAAAAGTATGAAATGTAAGTTCAGGATGCCTGCAGACACCCTGCGTAATGAACGGCAAGTTCATTAAAGTCCTATTCATAGAAAATCCCATGAAAGCGGTCGTTTAAAAAAAAAAAAACCTCTGACCTTGCGTCGGGAGAAAAAAAGGCCACAAAGACGACGCGTGACATCCAAAGGGGAAAACATCTGCGGAGCAAACCCAACGCATCTGGACAAGACAACATCTGGCCCTGGCAACGTCAGCCGCGATCGCGTCTGCACTCTGAAAGGGCATAAGGAACCTCAAAAAACGCTTAGATCCAAGAACGGTGGGTCCCCCAAGATTCGGTTGTCATGACAACAGCAGACCTAGAAAGAGAGCGAGAGAGAGGCAGCAGGCCACTCACGTTTCCCCCTATAGGTTATGAATGTCGACTCAAAAGGGTGATTATGAAAAACCGTGTAAAGGCGTTGGACGGCCGCTGCCGATGCGTTCTAGATGCTCCCGGTCTTCGTTATGCTCGAAGTAAGTTATGAGTTGCGTTGATATATGTATACATAATGTATAGCTCAATAGAGAGACGGAAACCATATACATCATTATGTTATGTAGTTGTCACTGAAGCAAAACATTACCACAGAGAAGGGACTGTTAAGCTAACCAATTATATTGACTAGCCAACCGACCATCAGACCAAAAAAACAGACAACACATGCTGGGTTATTGGGGGGGGGGGGGGGGGGGGGGGGGTGATACTTGTTTTTGTTTGTTGAGTTTTACATACAAAATGTACTGGTTCCCTCAGCAGCGAAATATTTAGACACGTCGAGATCTCGAACTACAGCGTTATACGACCCCAATGAAATACCCATCAGGATGCGAGGGATGAAGACGGAGCGACCATGTGTTTCTTGTTTAGTTTGATTCAGTTTACTCTTCACACAAACGCGCACGCACGCACGCACGCACACACAACATAAGTGATTCATAGACCGGCACACCGCAGGGTCAATTTGGGTTTGCTAGTAATTGAAGTTAAAATAAATGGCTTACAAGTGGCTATTTTCGTGATCCCATTTGTTTTCTGTTTAAGCCATGAGCCAGGTTGTGTGTGTGTGTGTGTGTGTGTGTGTGTGTGTGTGTGTGTGTGTGTGTGTGTGTGTGTGTGTGTGTGTGTGTGTGTGTGTGTGTGTGTGTGTGTGTGTGTGTGTGTGTGTGTGTGTGTGTGTGTGTGTGTGAAAGCTAGACAGGGAGAGACGATCTAACAGAACTAGATCTGTCTACTTTTGCCCTCCCCCCCCCCCCCCCGGTTCTTAAAATGGTTCCTATATACCACCAGGTGCGATGTGGACAAGCCATAACAACCTGTTTCAAAATCGACCTGATAGCAACATTACTTGTTGGAGCGTCCACCCAGATGTATTAGGCCGGTGGACTGTACCAACTATCTATCACACCGGGTGGTAAAACAGGGGCCCTTTTTAATAGCTAGCGCTTCAATGCAGTCGCTGTAGGAATGCGATATGTTTTGAGACGCGAATACCTTCCACATATGTGAGAGATACATGATATGCACTATGCAGAATGGTGCATCAACAACATTCAGTATTGACAAGATATTGATTTGGCATTTGCATTTCGCGAAGGCGGCATCAGCTTCATTTTGAAATCTGTGATGCTCGCTCTGTGAACCTCCCGACGTGATGAATATGCAGGTGAATATAGACGGCAATGCATACTCACTGCACATTAAAATGTCCGATAGAAATCACAACCCGTTAGAATATTCGGTCGTCCGACCTTAAAGTGTGGATTTAAGTTTTCTTAAAGTGCGGATTTAACGTTTTTTAAATATGCTACTTTCGGTGGAGACGTTAAACCGAGGTCCTGACTCCCTGTGGTCACTAAAGATCCCATGACACCCGTCGCAAGACTAGGGGTGCTAACCCCCGGTGTCCTGGCCGAATTCCCAACCTGGCTCTTGTACCAACATGGCCAACCTAAATCATCCCCCATGGTCTCTATACAAATTGCATCATTTCTCACCTCTCCACTGTGAGAGCCAGTGTGTGGTGAGCGTTTTCTGGCGCACACTGCAGCAGCTGTGCATCACCCAGGTGGGTGCTACACACTGGTAGTGGATGAGGTGTCATATCCCCCCCCCCCCCACCCCCCTCCACACACACACACACACACACACACACACACACTATGTAAAGCGCTTTGGGTGTCTTGAAAAGTGCTACATAAACGCAATTAATAATAACATAAAGGTGCTGTAGGTAAGATATAAGAGCTATTATTTTCGTGTAATTTGTTAGAAACGGCGCTGTGAGAATATCCATTTTTTGTTGAATGCGCCCGCCTCCGTATGAGACCATTTAAATGTCAGACCGCTCCCGGCTCTTTTCTGACCAATCAGGCCATCTCTTCCCTGATTGGTTTGGGGAATCCATCTTGCCTGTCAATCACAGGTGCGTGAAATCAATGACGGAGAAACATAAGGAGGGAGGCGGCATAGATGGGAGGGGAGCTTTAAATGAATAGTGAAACTTGTCACTCTTTCAATTGTTCCTAATTTCTCTCAGGATGTTCAAATTACTGAATGACTAATATTTAAATCATTTAAACTGGAGAAATGTTACCAAATGAACCAATTTGATTTGGTCAACACAACACACACATCCCCCAGACATAGAGCTTTAATAAGCAAAATCCTAATAACACTTTTGTAATCTGACTACGTTCATCAGGAGTCGGAGTTTGATACTGATGTCTGTATTAGTAATGCATGTCTGCTAGTATTTTATTCTGCAGCTTTCATCCCAAGCAATTTACAGTGAATTCCTCTTATGATTAAAACATTACAAAATCACAAACATTGACAAATGGATTGACAAAATATTTCAAGCCTTCAAGCCCTTTTTTCCCCCAGAAGCTCATGTAGCTTGATGTGCGAACTTGATATATTTATATATTTACTAATTTTCTTGTTACATGCCCAATTATCCGCAAGGTCTTTCTAAGTGCCTTGACTCATGTGGTTACAAATATGGCGTGTCATTATTTACATTAATTTGAAATGAGTCTGTAATTTATTTCACACGCCCGTTTAATTGGTGCCCAGATGTCTCGATCAGAGAGGTAATTGGTTACCATGTGAACCGTCTGTATGTGTATCACCAGAGTGCATTCCAATTGCCGCTCTATACTATTTAGCGCACCCTTGCTTCCTTAATCTCTAGCTGTTCTCTCTATTTTTAAAATATGGACTCCTTTCAACACCTTTCATCCGTTTACATGATCTGATGGATTTGATTTGGAAAATTAAGCCCTCTTGATGTATTACCAACTTCTCCATTTGTTTAAGTTTTACCAATTATCGGCCCTGCTGTTTAAGCTATTATAAATTCTTCCTTCGCTACACGACGCGTCCCTTCCTATTTTAAGCACGCTACCATCCAGTCCATATTAAAGAAAGCCAGCTAAGATACTTAGGCCTTTATTATATACTATTATAGGCCTATATCTAAACTCCCAATTTTGTCGAAGACAGAAGGTTGAGGCCAATCAATTAACTGCCTCTCCAACACAGTTGGAGAGGCACACTATT